GGTCTGTTGCTCAATTCTAGTAATAACGTCAACAGATCACATTTTTCCACTGAAAGTGGAACAGAGGAACCAGCCAGTTATTTTACTGGCATTTAAGATGCCAGAACAGGAAGCACTTATCAGCTGCATGTAAGGGAAAACATCAATGACAATTTAATTTAAAGCTATTCTCCCCTAAAAGGGTACACATTTTTTTTCTACATTTTTTCCTCTGTTTTTAAAGCTAAGAAAGGAAATACAGCTATTTTAGGAATCTGAATTCAAGGCTAAATCAGAATAATGAAAACATTCTGGCAGGAAGCATTTCTAGTAGTATTTTCTTCCTTAAAAAGTTAAATTTTTAAAATCATGTTGAAAGGCTCATTATGCATAAATACACACATTTTATAGATATATACACACAAATATATATGTACACACACAGGTGTCCACAAAAAAATCACACTTTAAATTCTAAATATCACAATAATGTTTACTTCACAGCTATATCATTGTGAGCACTACACTATTTTTTTACCACAATGTACAGTAGACATTTAAAATTAAACTTACCACCCGGTTTCAACATAATCACACACTGGGTAACTGAACCTGTTCTCTGATCTGCAAGATTTCTCATAACCCCAGCAGGATTTTAGTTTCTTCAAGTGTTTCTGCAGCACAGAATGACTGAATCAGGTTTTGCAACAGGAAAATGGGAAATGACTTAAGTTGTTAGCTTTTAAATGACGTCTTGCTCATAAATCTTGCATAAAAGGCTTTTGGTTTGGTCTGTTTTCAAGCAGAGTTTCAGAAACAACACCCAGATTCCTCATGCGCAGCAGAGGCTCCAAAGTGGACACACATGCACATCAATGTTATTCTTGTCTTCAATACAAATCCTTTCCCTGACTAATTGGCAAGGAGACAATTAATCACCATGTTTAATTGCTGCAGCTCCCAAGAACAAACCATCCCAACAGGACATTCGGAGAGACAAACAGAAAAAAGCAAACTTACTTTGTATGGGCAAAGAGCATCCTGCTTACAGATGTCAGCAACATGCTGGTTATTGTGCAGAAAGTAGGGGATATGCTCATCTGGCAAGTTGATGGCTTTGTAGCTGTAGAATGGCTCTTCTGGAATGTTTGGGAATTCAGTAGGATTTTCAGCTTGGGAATTAGCCAGAATTTCTTGCAGTAGCAATCCAAACACGAGCAACATAAACATGGCAACCTGTGAGTTCTGTACTTTATAAATAAAATAGAAAAAAAAAAAGAAATTAACATATCTGCAGCATTTCAAGCACACAGGACAAAATTCAGTCAGAGTCAGACATACAGTCAAAGAATCTGTACTTGCATTTCTGGAGTGGCTTCTTTTTCCTGTGAAGACCAAACTTTCACTGAGAGGCCAGACTGCACAACCTCAGGATTATCTTTGAATCATTAGTCATTGAGTGTTATTATGCACTACAAACTCCCAGCAAAGCTAAAATGGGTGTGTTTACTTTAGCTAAATGCCAAGGGATCCTGAGAGTTCAGTGTGGAAACCAAGTATAGAGCATGCAATATCCAGTGAGAAGGGAAAAAAAGTAGAAGAGCTGGGGGGGAGGGGTGAGAAAAGAAGGATTTTTAGTTTTAAAATAAGTATGAAAACAACACATTCTCCATTTCGAACTAATAATTGGCTGAGGGAAAAATAGGCAGACACAAATAGAGGGTCACAGCTAAGCCTTACAGGATGCCTGTTTTTAGTGCTTAACATAATTTTAAAGAAACTTGACTAGTGAGTATATTCTATATATAATTTTGTACACAATAGAAGTGTATTTATATGTATACACACGTAAACATACACAGGCCCACACATCTGTATACCCTAAAGCTGACTGCATACCTTCCTGCTAATACAACCTTCTCATCTAACACCCCTGCTTTGAACCATTAAACTTCCTGAGGAAAATAAATGAATGGCCTGTATCTAAACTCCACCTTTTTCGGCGTTATAATTGGCTAAAATTTGCATGCTTGCTTTCAACTGAAGCCTTTAGCAAAATTCTTTCGATACAAGTGGTTTTACCTGTTTGGTTTGAGAGGAACCACTTCAGCTTTCCCAGGTACAGAAACCTAGAGCGGGGGAGGAAGGTGGAGTTAGGTACGTCCTGGAAAAGGAGATTTCCTCAGGACACTGTCCTGCTCCTAGGGACACGTTCCCAGCTATGAGAGCAGCAGCCACAGCCCGGGCAATGCGCTGATCTGTCACTCGGGTCCCTATCCCCGCACACAGCACGCGGATCACGGCTTCCACCACAAACCCGGCGGTGTCCCCAAAACACGCGGCCCTTCCCCACCCCCGGGCGCTGGATGAGGCTGTCACCTCGGCAAGGTGCCCGGCATCCCGTGCCAGGCCGTGCTGGGTTCCATGACAGACCCAGAACCGGACCCAGGCACCAGCCGGACCTGGTGCCTGACCCACGCTTGGACCCGGCACCGCCGCCGCGCCCCGGCACAGAATCGCATCTCACCGCGCATCTCACGCGTATCACCGCGCATCTCACGCGTATCACCGCTTATCTCACCGCGCATCTCACGCGTATCGCACCGCGTGTCGCACCGCGTTATCTCACCGCGTGTCTCAGCCCCGCCGGCCCCGAGGAGCCCCGCGGCCCACGGGACCGGCCGCTGCTCCTGCTCGGCGCTCGCCGCCGGCCGCAATCCTCATGTCCGGGGCCAGCGCGGCCCCGCCGGCTCCGGGGGAAGCGCCCGTGCGGCTGTCGGGGAGGGGCCGCCCCGGGACCGCCGCCGGCAGCAGCCGGGAGCGCCCCGCCCGGGGCGGCGGGAGCCGGGGAAGGAGGCAGCGAAAGAGGCAGGGGAGGAAGGAAGGAAGGCAGGCAGGGAAGGAGGAGCCGCCGGGCCGGGGCGGAGGCGCGGCGCTCGGGCGCGGGTCGGGCTCAGGTGGGCCCGCAGCGAAGGGCACCTGCCCGCGGGGAGCAGCGGCGGAGCAGCCGCGTCTTCCTTCTGCTGCCGGAAATTAAGCGCTGCCGCCCCGGGAGCGGCGAGCGCAGGATGCGGAGGAAAAGGGCCTTTTCCTGGCGCGGCCCGGCAGGAAGCGCAGGCTCCGGCACCCCATTGTTCCAGGCGTGCCCCCGAGCCCAGGCCGGCAGCAGCGGGGCCGCGCTGCTCAACACCGCCAGGGGCACGGGCAGGGCTCGGCCATGCCCTCCCTGACACACGGCAGCGCTCCTGCCTGTGCCGGCACCCCGCACCCTCCTTCGGTCTGACCCAATTCCCGCAGTGACGAGCGCCGGGGGAGGCACAGGCGCCAACAATCAAGAGCTTTGAATCCTCCCGCACAGCCCGGACCTCTTCTCCCCTCGTTCCCAGGTGGGAAACGAGCAACAAACAGCCCTAGCCAGGAAATCTGCGAGAGAACGCAGAGGTGCTGACCCCGCAGGGACACCGAATTTCACATTATCCTCAACCCCATCGCTGCGGTGCATTTAGAAATAAAGCAGCTCCTCGTACATAAATACCCACGGTACTGCAAGACTTGAACTGGCATCTGTACCTGTATTCCAACTATATCTGGTATCTTCTACCTTAAGTAATGTTTTCCTTTCACAGCACTAGGTTCACACCCACCTACCCACCCTCCCCAGAATTATTTTTAAGTCTTTTACCAAAGAGAACCAGAGCACACTGTTAGCGGAAAATTTTATTTTACGCTGACCCGTGCTTTTTACAGTTTATACATATTTTACAACTAGAAACCAAGGGGTTCAATTTCACTGTGATAACCATTTCACCTCTTATAAAGGATCATTATAGCCCTTAGTAAAACATAAGCACATAAATTACAACATGTAGCAGGGAAAAAAAAAATAGAACCCTTCTTTCATGTGGATTTGACAAGAGATTTTGAACATGGGCTCTCGAGTTCCTAAAGGAAGTGAGTACCAGAGTATTCCTCATCCAAACCTGCCTACATCCAGAGGCCTTTCCATCAGCAATTCAGCTCCCTCTGAACACTACACTGAATAACCTTTAAATAACATTTCTTCATACTTGAATATGCAGTGAAAATGAGAGATAAATTAGTTGCTTTCAGAAGGAAAGTTATTGTTCTATTGTTCTAAAACAATAACTTTAGACAAAAGTGAGTACTAGAATTCTAGCCTAATTCCTTTCATTTTGCACATTACTCTTCCAGGCAATCTCAGTAAGAGCAATGAATTGTGTTCAAGTAACAAAGTTTCTTCAAAACAAGCATACAATTAGATCAAAGATGAGCAAACCAGGATATTTTAAAGCATATGTTACCTTCCAACAGCCACTTTGTTTTCTAAGGCTTTGATGATTAAGACACAGAAGGCCATCTGATTCTCAGGTGGTATTAAAGGTTGCACTACAAGGGACTATAGAATCCAAATATAATCAATAGAAATATTTACATCTACTTTAGTAAAATTTAAAAATCTAGTACCTTTTGCATTTTTACATCTAAAACAGTTAATGCTGACTGCATGTTAAAACTTCCCTTTTACCTAAGCTCTCATAAACAAGATAGCCCAAGACATACTCAGAACTGTCAGTCCTTCAGGAGTATAAAATAATTTATTTTTCTCTGCTGCATTTGTCTGCCAAGATCATTAAAAAAAGTGAAAACCAGGAAGTTATTGATTTGCTGTAGTAGATAAAAGCTGAACAGAATTTCTAATCTTTGACCATCACAGAGAGTTGTTTTCTTAAGAAAAGGCTCAACTAACCCTTGTACATCATAATTCTAAATCAGTAAAATTCCAGCAAGTTTTTTAATATGCACTGATTTTTGCTTAGGTTTGACTGGTCTGGGGTTTTCCAGAAACTTAGAGCAACAAACCATGCTTTAATATGAAGGTAAAGTGTTAAATTCTGAGGTTTTTAGAAGAAAAATCGTACCACCATGGTTTCTAAAACTGAAATGAAGACAAGAGGGTAATTCCCTCCCACCTCCCAATGAAAAAAAAAAAAAAAAAAAAGGAAGGGAAAAATTATTTTTATTAAAGCAGTTAGAAGTTTCTATGTCAGATGGGGAGTTACAACAAATTTAAGTGTTCTGGCTCTATGGCTTTAATGAAATCCTCACAGAGCAACTGCCTGAATGTCAAATCAGACTAGGATTTTCCATGAACATTCCCTTGCTTGTGTAACTTCAGTGAGGAATAAATCCTGTTCTCCCAGTGAGGAATAAATCCTTAACACCCATAGTAAAATCACATTACCAAGAGGCATTTCTCCAGAAGCAACTCCTCATCCTTCACATCCTTTGTGTGTCAGGCCACCAAATACCCAAGCAGGAAAAGAGTTCCCAAATTACAACATGCACTGGTCTGGGAAAAAAAAAAACCTCTCCCAACAGAGGCACTGGTGTGATAAGCAAAGAATTTCAGCTGCCCAGTATTTCACACGAGTAGGTTCTGAGATGCAGCAAAATATTTGTTCTCTGGAATGCAGAGAGGAAGACCACAGCTCCTTCTCAGCATTCCCAAGGGACCCATTCAAACATTTCCTCTGACATGACCAAAAATGCAGCTCAACTCAAGTCACATGAGTGCTGTTTGACCAATACCTTGCTTAAGGAATGGCATGAGAAATACTCTGCAGCCACTGGAGACTTGCTCTATTATTAAGCCACAGTTCAGTTTTACAAGTCTAACCCTTGCTAATTATATAAAAGGAACCATGAGATCTGCAGCCATTTATTTTTAAAAAATCAGTTTCCTGCATTCTTCTGATCTGTTCTAGCTACTTAAAAATCAGCTACTAAATCTAGAACAGATATTTAACAGCTCAGATTTCTGGTGTTAAAAGTTGAACACATTTATCATTACAAGCAGAGCTGCTGTCTCCAGACTGTTCATGAGAACACAAGCAATATACAAGATGAAGCTGTAATTTGAAGTCTCATCTGAGTCTCACACTCTGCTTTAGAGGACTTAGTCTTAAGTAGTCAGACTAATCTGATTTGTCTAAGAATAATCATCCTGACATGTTCAGATGTTGTAAGCACAAATCTAAGATTTTCCTGTCATAAAAATATCCACCAGGTATGCTTCAGACAGCAAGTCCCTGCTGCTTAGTTATTAAAAATTACCTGATGAGATTTTAGAAAAACTCTTATGAACACTTGAGACAGACTTCTAATGTGATTTTCATAGGTTTGCAAAGATTATGAATCAAGGGCTGCTTTAGTACTACTCATGCCTTCCAGTTCTGTCTCACAAGGTAACAACCATAATTTCTGCTGTTTAGGTAAAATGGCCCACCATTTAGCAAAAACTTAAATAAAGGGATGACTGAAGAAATAAAATTAAATATTGCACAAATAATTTAACTGCAGACAGAACAGGACACTTAAAGCATTGATTCTTCTGTCAACATATGAACTCTATAATATAGTCACATTTTCTATAATACAGGGGTTTTTTACAAGACATTTAAATTCAGCATTTACATAAACAGTTATCTTTACACTCTGTCACCATACAATCCTAACAGTTCCACGAGGAATTAATTTTGCCTTTGTTTTAAAAGTTCATCTATCTGAGTCTTGTACATGTTTTTCACATCTTCCAGATCCAGTCGGAGCTCCTCAGCCTCCTCTGCCTTCTCCCCATACATCTGGAGAATGGTGTTGTACCTCTGATCCAAATCCTGCAAGGACACACGCTGTTATCTCACTGGTTCTTGTTCTCAGCCTCAACCAAGCTGCTGCTGGACAGTGTTTGACACTGCCAAGGGAAATAAGGGCAGCACTACCTCATCAAAGTGTAACCACAGTGCAGCATTCAGTAAACTCTTCAAAAGTACTTTGTGCTTACAGCTAGACTTATAGACTAGATATTAAAGGAAGATATTCCAAACATCATAAAGAGAATTAGTGCTGGCTTCATGGGACATAGTGAAGCACCTTGAAGTTCAGTTGCTATAAGCATTAAAAACAGCTAGAAAACTGCACTGTTTTACTAAAGGAATGACCAATTTGGGAAATGTTTCATAAGAAAACATAACATTCTGTATTCAAAAATTATTCCAAAACTCTTCAAATATTTCAATTTAAATTCTTAAACATTTGGATTCAATTATTTGTCCTATTTCCTGTATATCTACTGCACATATATATTCAACTTCTGCATCAACCTCAAACCCATGCTATTAATCAAAACCCTCCCTCTACTAAAAAATCCAGTTCCAGACAAGTTCCTAAATAATAGAAACAAAAATGGTCTCTCCCTGACTTAGCGCACAGTCTTATGCACAGCACATGTTTCCAACAACTGTGTTTTGAAGTGACTCCCTAACCATGGAGTGGGCATTTTTAGGTTCTACTACATATATTTTAAAAACCCACCAAAAACCAGGCTCTTCAGTCACTTATGCTTTGAAACAGATTTGAATATATTCCTAAACTGACAGGACTGCTCCTAAAGTAATACAATTATCTACATTTTACTATACATTTACACCAGAAATGCACTTACCTTTAACTGTGTACGTAATTTGGTTATTTCCTTCACTTTTTCTTCAAGTTCATCATTTTGATTTGTTAATTTAACCAGCTCTTCTGCCATTATTGATCGAGTTTTCTCCAGGTTTCCAATTTCCAGCTAGGGTAAACACACATAACAAGGAGGAGAAGGAAAGAATTCACTGCATTTATAAAACACCATATCAAAATACTTAATCAAAAAGGCTTATTCTTAATCAGACTGTGAAACAGCACAACTCAGATCCTCTCTCACTTTCTTCTCAAATCTCAGTGTCCTGCATATTTTACTTTTCAGACAGATACGTTTTCTGGATAGGTCCTTGCCAAAACAAAAAGGAACCAACAAATTCTTCTTGTGCTCATCCCTACACAGCTGTACTGGTTCACAGAATTCTTGCAACACACACCAAGCTTTCTGATACCTGTAGATGTGAAATCTCCCCTTCTCTTAGTTTTAGCTGTGACTGAAGGTTTTCAATTATACTTGAACCTGATCCCATCCTTATTGCATCATAGAGATTGCTCCCACTGGTAGCTATTGGTCCAAAGGAGTGATCATGAGGATCATCCTACAAACAGAACGTTAGAGAAGCTGAAAGTTAGACAAAAACATGGCCATTTTGGAATCTTCCCTCTCCTAAATATGACATAACTTAAGATGTAAAATACAGTGTGCTAGGCAAGCATTTCAATGCTTAAAGCTTGTTTTCAAAACACAAGCTTGAGGTGAATAGCTACAATTTGGGATAGCTCCTTATTGGCAAGTTCTCCTGACACTTCTACAGGTGCCATGAACTGGACTGACAGGGGAGGAGCAGCAGGAGACAGCAGAGTGCAGCACTCAGTCATGCTGTCTAGGGAGCAGGGCTGTGCCCTAAACCAGGAGTGCAAATAAAAATAAATCAATTGTATGTTTTACAGTCCCAGACATCTTGTAAGCAGATTTTAGATATTTCTGCACAGGATGTTACCTCGTCTAAGGCCAATGCACTCTTGAAGAGTCATTTTCTATGTTACTAGAAGCTCTTGAGGAGGAAAGTAAGTGGTCTCTCAAGAAGAAAAAAGCCATTTTAGGTGATCTATCCTACCTGTGAGAGGAAAGAGGTCTGAAGACCTGCCATGTCCACCCCACTTATGGAACTGGAGCGGGACATTGAGGGTGTACTTGATACAGTTTCAACTGTGAATGACTTTCGGTCCTTAAAAACAAACAAAAACATCCAATATCACCAGTTAGAGAAAGAAAAAACATTCCCAACATGCTAAAAGAGATTCTATAAATAGCCTCCCTTTTTCCACCAACAACTATAGAATACTATGTGATAGATTTTCTACTTGCCCCATACCTAAAACATATGAAAGTTCAACAACAAAGAATTTCTGGGCTGTAACACAGCCTATCTTCAAGACATTGGACCTTTCAGGAAATTAAGACAGAAGCTGCAAACTACACTGAAAAAATGTTCTCTTTCAAGCAGCCAAGAGAGACTCAGAGGCAGTTTTGTCCATCCAAATGTATCACAGAAAGAATATCTCACACCCAGAAGAACTTCTCTTAGAATGAATGTTAAGGCCTTTTTGTTCTTTTTAAATAAAGTGTATGGATTAAATTCCAGGCTTTTTCACATGCTAATAATTTACTGATATCTCTTCAAAACAGACTGGCCCCTTTTTCCAGATCATCTACAAGCATGCTAACCTCTGAAGGGGAAAGCACTTAGATTTTAGGACTGGAGACAGTAAGAAACAAACAACAGAAATAGTTTTACTGAATACCAACTGCTAATTAGTGGTAATGAATTTAATGACTATTGAGGATTCCTCTGTGACTTGTGACTTCAGCTGAAAAGCATGTGGAACATTACACACTGAAACAAAACAAGAATTCAGTGGATGCAATGCTGTTAGTCTAAGCAAAGGAAACAAGTAGCTTCAGAAGAAAAAGGATCCAAGATCGCTCAGAGAACACAGAGGATTAAGACAACAATCCATATTTTACTTCTTTCAGCTTAAATAGACTACTGCTCAAAATTTATTTCAGTGAGTCTAACACTTCACCTATTTCACTGGAAAGATATTGCCAGATACTAAAAGTTTCAGGTATAGTTGTCTATAGTTTTATATATAGTTTATATTTTTTTATTTTATATATAGTTTATATATAAAATAAAGACAATATCTTACTGATATTGTCTTTATTTTATACTAAAATAAAGACAATATCAGTAAGACTTATAAATGTTAGGTTTTTGCACCTTCTCCTTTGCTGCTTCTTGGACAAGAACAGCCTTCTTTCTCTCCTGTTCAACCTTCATCTTCTCCATTTCCAACTGAGTAGCCAGCAGTGCCTGCAAAGAGAAATACAAACTGTTAATCTCCAGTTAGCTCAGATTTCAAGCATAACAGAGATTAAAGCTAAATTAGGCAATACCTTTTCTTTCTTTGCATCTTCCAAGGTTTTTGCATACTCATCTTTGAGCCCTTCTAGTTCAACCTCATACCTACACAGAAGAAAGAAAGGTGAAGTTAATAAATAGGTATTCTCCATTCTATTCCCTGTAGATTCAGATGCTTTTAAAACAAACACAGCTGCAAAGCTACAAATTGTTATGAATGTAACACATTTTTAATCTTTAAAATGAAACAAAGTATCCTCAACAACATTTTTTTGTAACATTCTGCCAACACATTGCACAGTCATATCAACTCAATTCCACTACATTATAAAGAAATGCTGTTAACCAAAAATGAACTCACCTGCTGTTCTCATTTTCCATTTTCTTCAATTTGTTTCTCTCCACTTCCAGCTGAGCCTGAAGACGGGTATTTTCTTGCCTTAAAAGACTATTTTGAGATTCAGAAGAAGACATCTGAATTTTATTAGCAAGAAGTTCCTCTGTAGCAGCCCGTTCTCTCTCAGCAGCTGCTGCTAGAAGAGTTTGAGACTCACCTAATAGTAAGAAAAAAACATGGAATTTAACCTTTTTTGATCAAATATCTAGAATATGAGCCATTTACTTATATATCAAAATTAAATTTCAGATTTTTTTTTATATGCAACTAATCTTTCTTAAAAATTACATCTTGTTTTCTTTTGTAAGGAAATTAAATATTTTCCACACACAGAGGATCAAAGCAATGCAGAATGAACAGATTTCAGGCTCTTTCAAAAAGCAATATACAACTACAGATTGCTTCCAGAAAGGAAGTATTTTTTTTGGGTCCACCTTTGGGCTTTTAATGCATTTTTCATTTAAAACAATGCATTACTACTGTATCAAACAATGTATGTATCATCACCTACGCAGTCAGGTAAGTGATTCCAAACTTTACAATGGGAATCTCAGCATCAGGCTCCACACTGGAATGCCTTCAGTGTCTCAAGGCCCTTAGAAGCTGTAAGGACATGTACACCTTACAATCTTATGTTACAGAGTGTTTTACACAGAACCAGTGGATTACCTGTCCAAGAACCTTGGCATGACTCCCCCAGACCATTTCCTTACAGGAAATCATTTGGTGCTCCTCTCTCCTGATCCACCATCTACACTTTGGGCAAGTGTTAATTAAGCCCTTTACATTTACCTTCTCACATCTCATATCTTCACCCAGAGCCTCACAGCTCAGCAGAAGCTCAGCCACCTTACCCAGCCTGTCAGAAAGGTTCTTCTCCAGTTTCTCCCAGGCAGAGGTCTGTGCCCCCAGCGTGGCCTGCAGGTTCTCTATCTGCCGCAGCAGGGGCCGGGTAGCAGAGGTCACACTTTGGCTCAGCTCTTGGTTCCTGCTCTCTGCTTCTTGGAGTCTCTGAAATCACAAATTAAATATAATTTAAATCATATGATGGATTGAAAGAGTCATACAGAGTTCATCTAAATAAATAGCAGCTGTTTTACATTCTAAGATTACTGCTTTACAATCTAACATTCATGTGGCTCAAACTCAAAGTAAAGTGTGAAAGAGAGAAGTTAAACATTTTCAGATAAATAACAGAGCAAGAGCCCAGAAATTCCAGGGCTCTGGACATCGTTTGAAACATTTTGGCAACAACCTATATTCTGGCCCTTAAGAACAATTAAAATATTCTTAACAAGCAGATAAAGAGTCATTCAGAAGTGCATTTGCCAGCAATTTTACACAACTACCACAGAATTAATGCCTGTATTTTGTTTTGTATTTAAAAAGGACAGCATTCTCTTTAAGAGGCATCATAAAAAACTAAGACTTTTTTCCACTATGTAATTAAAAAAAACATTTCCATTAATATTTTTATTGCTCCTCTGTAAAGGACAACCACTGCAGGTAACAAGGAAAATAAAGCCTCTCGTTCAGGCTGCTCATGTCATGGTAGCAATTTATTTTTGGGTTTTCAGAAGTCCTCCTTGCAGGTGCAAGTGGGCATCATCTGTTTGTTACAGTACCTGCTGTAGTTCACCAATTTCCTGCCGTAAATAATCTTCTTTTCTTGCTGCCTGCTGCTCTGCACGTTGCAGTGCCAGCCTCAGGTCTGCCACCTAAATAAACAAGAAATTGTTACTAAACTCTTGCCAAAAGTTCTGTCATCACCTATTCCTTGCCACAGTCCCACACCATTTTCAAACAGTGTTAGCAGGATATGTTTGTTTACAAGTAAAGGCTTCATTTTTGCACGCACACAAGTAGTTACACTGATTTATTTAGCACTAAAAATTCTAAGAGGTAAGAGTACCACAAACTTAACATAGAGCCTATCAAAGTAATTTCATCTAGATAAGTAAAATTATAAGTACTTTTAAATACAATTAGTATTTTAAAGGTTAGCACAACACCCTTCAATATGGAACAAGTTCCACAGGGAAGAAATCCTCTGGGTATTTGCTAAGCACACAAAAACGAGTTCCACCTGGTCCATTACATCAGGTGCACACAGCAGCTCAGTGCAGCCACTTGTTGAATTAAAGACTTTATTACTGCATTTCAGACCCACCTGAATTGCCAAAGCTTCTTGCTGCTGCCTAGCCTCCTCCTGGGCCTTTTCCAATGCTAACCCAAGCTCTTCCTTTGCCTTCATCTCCCGACTCAGGGCTGCTTCCTGAGCCTCGCTGTCCTTTGTAGCATTAGCTTTATGAAGGTCTGCAAGTTCCCTGGGGAGAAAGAACCAAACAAAGAAATAAACAAAGTACATTTAAATGCCAACAGCAACTTGGAAAGTAACTTTGTTACATTTAAATATTTCACAAGCATTGCACAAGGAAGAGCCACAATCTGAAGGTGTGATTGCTCTGCTTACTTGTATGCACTGTCGAGTGCTGCCTGCACACTCCTGTTCCTTTCTTCAAGTTCCTGCACTTCTGCCTGAAGTTTAGTGAGGTCCTTTTCTTGTCTCTCCACAACACTGTTCAGTTGTTTAATGCTGTCTCGATGCTGCTTCTCAAGGTCCTCCTTGCCATCAAGCACCTGTCAGTGAAGACAAGAAACATGAAACCAACCCCAGGACGTGGGGCTGACAGCACTGCCTGAGGACAGGGACAACAGTGGCAACCAACTTGGGACAAAGTGGCTAAAGCCATCTAACACGTGGCAGAAAGAGAAAGGTTTTGCTTCCCTGCCTTTCCCAGAGGAGGGAGCTGCTCTTCAGCACAGCTTCACACAACTCCACATCCTGGGTCTGAAATTTTTAAGGTCTTGACTCAAACACTGTCTAAATTTTGGTGGTACAGATTTTCCAGCTCACATGCAAACAAGCAGTGGAGAAGATCCCTCACTGCAGTTTTACAAGGAATACACACATAAATCACAACTCAGTGCTCCAATAATGTGAAATGGTGAGAGCCTGGCACAGGTTGCCCAGAGAAACTGGGACTACCCCACCCCTGGCAGTGCCCAAGGCCAGGCTGGATGGGGCTTGGAGCAGCTTGGGATAGTGAAAGGTGTATGGAAGGGGATGGAACTGGATGGGCTTTAGGGTTCCTTCCAACCCAAACCATTCTGGGATTCTATGAAATAGAGAAGTCTACAGAAAATAAAAAAATAAGTCAATTTATCAAGAGCCCTCCCAAAAGGCAATTTAGCAGCTAACATAAAACCTTAAAAAATTCAACAAATATCTCACCTGTTTTAAATGCTGCAACTCCTCTTCCAATTCCTTAATCTTTTTGTTCTGTTTTGTGTTAATATTTTCTCTCTCTTTCTCTTTGGCTCTTAATTTCTTAATAATGTTGGAATTCTGCAGCTGCTGCTTGGAAAGCTTTTCTCCTGTGAAGAAATTGAGCATGAAGCCAGTGCATATTGGTGATATTCTATGGATTCTCTCTATTCACACCTGCCTTGCTCTTTAGTCCCATGAAAATATTACTCAAGTAATTATGGAAATACTTATTCTTACAGTTCTTCATGCAAGTTCTTTAGTTTAAATCTATCTTATCCTGAGATACTCTTGCTACACTGAGCTACAGTGAGATAGGATAGGATGTAAAAGGCTTTGAAAATAAAGCAAGTGAGCTCATCATGTTAGGAAAAAAAATCTTCTCATTTAGTATCTATATTTTACTTCCAAAATGCAGAAGTATTAAAAGAGACACCGTAGAAATGCCATGAAAAATGCCTTCATTAGATTGCTTCTGAATGGAACACAGAATGTGTTTCTGCACATGCTGGTTTTATCTCTCAGCACATTTTACTGCATCTTGCAGGAATCACCTTTCCAGCCACCTGTACCTGCCTGACCCCTCCTATTGCTCTTTGCTACTCACTAAATGCTTAAAACATTCAGAAACATCCAACATGCTTCAAATTAGCACTTTTTAGTCACACAAAGAAGGCTTGTGTGCAAGGCCAGTACATTTCAAACTATTCTACACAATTTTACTGCAACAAAAAAGTTAATTCTCACCTTCCTCCATTAATCCTTTGATTTGCTCTTCTTTTTCTTTCAATAATTCAGCAGTTTCATTGGTATTAAGTCTAGTAGCCAATTCCTCTTTAACAGTCTTTACTTCCTAAATAATAGGATAAAATACTTAGGACTGTTTATTAAAATACATGGAGGGAAAAACAGAGTGAGTTACACTGATCACCTTTTTCTTCTGCCTTCCTCTCATAAGACTTTGCTGGGAAAACAATTTAGGTTGGAAGGGAACTCTGGAGATTATCTGATCAAAACAGATTGCTCAGAGCCTTATTGCATCAAGTTTTAAAAACCTCCAAGGATTGAAACTCTGTAAATCCTCTGTACAATTTGTCCTAACTTCCCCATCCATTTAATTTTCTTGAAAGTTTTGCAATAGAGAAAAACCAACCTGTCCCATTCACAAGTAGCTACTGAAAAATTTTTCTAATTCAACTCGCTGCTGTGTCAACAGAGTGACAAACAGCTGAAAAATAAATATTTGTTTTTCAGTCAGATTTGAGTTTCCTTTCTGCATTAAGCTAGAGAAATGAAATGCTGTGACACCAGGTCAAGAACACTTAAACCCCATAAACTTTGCTGCTGTAGATTTCTTTGCTCATTCCAAATCAATCTGTCATCAGCCCTTAATTTTCCTCCCAGTTAATCCTCTAAAGAAGCCATTCCCATTCTTCACCCCTTCCTCACATCCCCAGGCCATTCTCCCTCACCAATGCAAATACATATTTGGTATAAGGTAAATGAGAGCACACATTAAATCTCTTTTTTTCCCAATTAAATGAGTTCCCCAAGCTGGCTCACAGCATGGATGCAAGAACACAGATGTGAGCACCAAGCAGCCTGGATGGTTGGAAACAGCTCATGCTGCTTACTAACAGCCTCAAGCTTTTCCCTGGGTTAATGTTAACTGTTTTTCCTCAAGAAATTCATTTGTGTCATAGCCTAATAAATATTAATTTCATTAAAAAAAGCCAAATCACCTTTTTAGCTGCATCTCTCTCTTTGCAGGCTAGTTGGAGCTTCTTCTCAGCATCTGCAATTCGCTGAGCAAACTCCTCTTTAAGAGATGAAAGGCTGCTGCTCTCTTCTTTCATTCTAAACATTTCACTGCATTTAAAATCAACATTTCAGAACAGTTGCATGGGTATGTGACACTCCAAACAGTTTGCAACAAGTTGTCTTAAATGCTTTTAAGAAGTATTTTATTTGTATTACACATGATAAGCTAAAGTCAAAAAACCTCTCATCTGTATCAGAATTCCTAATCAAAGATCTTTATCAACTCAGTAGTTTACCCATGAAAACAACTAAATGCTTGATTTATCTTAAATGTTTTGCTCCTTGAAAAAGTCCTTTTTAGTTAACCATAATCTGTATCATACAAAGGGTAAATTATTTCATCTATTTTTAAGTTAGGATCAATTTAGTCATTAAACAACAGCATCACATATCTGTACATTTTATAATTCAATATTTGATCAATGAGCTGGTAAATACAACTTTGCATTTTCTCCCTTTTAACTTTAACTAAATTAAATAATAATTTCAGGTTTTTCCCTACAACCAGCCCTTCTTCCACAGTTTCCCTGCCTACATTTTAGTCAACAAATTACTTGGTAAATCAGGTTCCTCCCTCTGTATCAGCAAAGTCAATCTCTCTTAATAGCTGAATCCAGTCTTATAATAAAGATCTTCATTTTAACTAAGACTGATTCTCAACATTTGTCATTCTTACTGCTTGCTTACTGAAAAATCTTTCCCCAGCGCCCTCCCAAAGAGATTTTGGCTCCAAGAAATAACATGTCTTTAAAAACATCCCATCACAACACATGCAGTCATTATTGCCACCTTTCACAAACAGTGCACATCCCCTGTAACCTTTGCTCCAGTCACAAAGCTCCTTGTTTGATCTACTGTCTAAGACTTTACTACAGCAAAGTCACAGTTACAGCACTGAGTGTATTTCCATACTTACTCTTTGAGGTTATCATAAGCTTCTTCCAAGCGAGCCCTCTCTTTACTAGTGCTTAGTAACTGTATTTCCCTCTTCTCCAGCTTCTCAGTTAATGAATCAATCATCTGGACAAGGTTTTATAGATAAAGATCAGATCAATGGGACAATTAAAACACAAGAGGGACAGGTTTTCCCTTCTCCCACCCCCCATTCCCTCACAAGATTATTTAAAACTGAACTGGTCAATGTTTCAGGAATTTGAGGCAGAAGTCAGTGAGGATTATCATGTTTCTGCCACACACCTGAACATAAAGACACCTGTTTTCTACAGGTGCAGAAATCCTACTAAATCAGCACGTGTGGCTCAAGTAAGGTCCTCAACAAAATGATCGACAGTGAGATTTAATTATACATGAAGTCCATAAAACCATGGCTAACATTAAGCATTAAGACTCCCAATGTTCTTTACAGTTCTGGGAAATATTAGCACAAAGCAGCAGAATAGCCTCAGATGAGGGAGGAAAACTTTCACTCAGGGTCAAAAGGTCTGAGCACACATCCTCAAAATAATTTCTTAACATGAAGTTTTGGAAAGTTGAACACAGACAAAAATACAAGAAAATATACAAATGTAAACACCAAAGAACTAAAATAACACATTTGACTTATTAGGCTTCCTGTTTGCCACCCCTGCTCACAATTCACAACAACAACAACCAGGTGGGTCAGGTGAAACCCACAACTATCTGATCAGAAGTTTTACCAGCAGTGTTCCACTGCAGGATAACAGGGACAGTTTTCTACAGGGTCAGATAGCTCAGAATCTATTAATTCATTCAAATAAGCTGATGTAAGAGATACAGGACAATGTAAGGAAATGTCAGGAACCTCATTTGCAATTAAAAGGTGTGTTTGCAATATATGTTTTATTTACCTTTTTAAGCTCTTGCTTTTCAGTGTCCTCTTCTACCAATTGCTCCCCAGCATCCTGCTGGGGCTCAGCCTCCTCCTTCACAACCTGTCCTTCAACAGTTTGCACAGCAGCAACCAAAACAACATCTGGCTGCTCAGAATTAACAGGGGTTGCACTTCTCCCACTCTCTTCCATCTCAGCTTCCTCAGCATGCAGCACAGGAGCATCATTCAAGTTTTCAGATTTATTTTTCAGGGCGTCAACCGTTTCTGTCTTTGGCACGGAAGGACTGACAGCGACAGACGCTGAAGCAGAAGCCCTGCCTGACAACTCATCATCTGAATTTATTTCACTGACACTCCTGCTATCCAAGGACTGCACACTGAATGAATCAATTCTTTCAAAAGCATCCGAGGAGCCACAGCTCTCAGTCATTTTCTGGAAGTCATCTAAGCGATTATAATCCGCACAGGCAGACGTGGATAAGAGCTGGAACGACGTCTGCATGAGGTGAAGGCTGGACTTGGAATCCGCAGCTTCTTGTCTGGAACTTACTGAGCTCTCACTTATCACACTTTCGTGGTCCAGAACTTCAATATCACTGGTTGTGGAAGTGCCTGAGGAGAAGGTGCTGATGGGAGGTGATGGGGTATTGCTTTGTCTGTCCTCAGTCTTTCTCTCCTTCCCTTCCAAAGCCAGGTCTTTCGTGCCTGCTCCAAGGGGCTGAGAAGTGCCCTCGGGTGCACCTGCTGCTCCATCCCCAACTACACTGGATTTTTCACTAGGAGAATCTTCAGGTTCTTCAAAATTTAGAGCAGACACCTTTTTGTCAGTAACTTCATTTGTGCTTGCTTCATGCTGGGCATCAGATTTAAGCACAGCACTCTCTTCTAATTTCTCCTTGGGAATATCAAGGCTTTTCAAGTCCAGGTCAGCTAGGGAGGAATCCTTCACCTCTGCCTCTGCTGTCACTGGCCCTTCCAGCTGACTGGAGTGTTGAGACTCCTTTAAAGTGCTTTTCACCTCCTCTTTGGGTCGCTGTGATTTGGCTGGAGGTTTGGACACCACTGGGTTTTTCTGTATACTCTGAACGTCTGTTGGGGAGAGAAAGGCACTGAAGAAGTTTTCGGATTCATCCACAACCGTCCTCCTCACCGGCTTTGTGATGGCTGTGGGCGATACTGGCTGATTCTGGGGTTCTGTAGTTGAGTTCAAGCCCCAGGAAGATGTGTCCCATCCTCCACTTATGAGAGAATTTGTTCCTAAAGAAAAAAAGGAAAAAAGGAGGATAGGTATAAAAAAAAACACTTTGAAAGCTACAAGCAAAAGCAAATGTGGCCTCCTGCTTCCCTACTGAGAAAGAAGTCCAGGCAAAAACAACATGAAAAGCTGTAGTTAAGAGAATTATACTGATTTAAAAAGGAGGAAAAAATTACAAGGTCTTAAAAGTTATCTGCAAGTAGCACATAAACACTTCACACACCATTGCAGAAAACAGAGGGGAGAAGCTTTAAGTATTTGCAGTATTTACACTACAAGGTTTCCTGCCTTCAGTTTCTGACAACTTCATTTTTCCTCAAACACCAAGCATCAGCATGGAGCTGACAATAAAAATCAGCAGCAGCCCAGCTGAGAATTTCCCTCTTCTGTAGAGAAATACTGAATTGTTCAGTTCTGAAGCTGCTCTAAAACAACATCAACAGTTCCAATTATTGTATTTCTTGCAGGCTTTCCAGGACTTGTCAACAGCAAAACCAAGAATTTCAGCATCAAGTTTCAGTAGCATCTGAAGTAAGAAAGAGAAATCAAAAAACAATATCAAATTTTATAATCTGGGTAACATAACTATTTCAGGCTACTTAAAAACAAACTCACTCAATACAGCAGCATCTATTAAAAACGCTGAGTTACAATATTTAAAGCTGGCTTCTACTTTCAGAACAGTTGATAGCTGTTGGCCTCAAATCTCAAGATAATCTCTCGGGTAATTACTGCTTTCATTGCCCAAAATACTACAAACATGTGATTTATTACTACAAGCATCTGACTTATTTGCTACCTTGTCCATGATTCAACAGCTTCAGAAAAAGCTCTGAGTTAACTGTAACATTCAGAACATATTTTGACATCTCTTAAAAACAAGGTTTCCCCTGAAAACCAGATGCAGGCTGATCTTTGCTGCTCTTCTTATAAATTACAGAACTACCATAAATACTAAGATACAAACAAAATTTTAAGAATTTGGACAAGTCTAAAGCTTTGAGAAATTAAGCATGACAGAGTTTTCTATAAACAATTTCTGCATTGTAAGATGACACCAGACTACTTACATGACTGCCAAGCCCTCAAAGGGACAAAGACCAAAACTGACCTTTGCTGTGCAACCAACCTGGAAAACATTTTCAGTTGCTACAGCTTTCAGAAATCTCACTCTGCTGTGGCTTCACCTGGAAATAACCTCCTCCTCCTCCAGCTAGACATAGTTTTTCTAGATATAGTTGTAGCAATGACACTGATTCCAGATGACTTTGTTTTCCATATTATTATTAAGATTATTATTATTATTATTAGGGGGGAGTTTCTAATTAAGAGGGCTCCTTTTTGCTCTCTCCCTTCCGAACAGCAGCTTAGGGTGACCATTCCTTCAGGCTCTCCATCAGCACACGCACAGGGAAGACACTTCCTCATAGCCTTGACAACTTTTTTTTTTTTCACCAGCACATTCCTTTCCACAGATGTTGGAGGATTATGAACTGGAAGCCACGAAAAGTGGAAATTTCATTTGGTTCACATGGACCAGACTTTCAGCTTCTATTCTGCCCCTCCTGTTGCAGAGAGCGAATCCATGAAAAGAGCGTGATTTCCCCTTTTATATTACTGAGCAGTTTTTGCCAAGTATTAGCCCCTCAGCATAAGTATAAATAAACAACGCCTCGAGAAGCAGGATATGAAGCTCAGTGCCACCTATGCGATAAAAGCAGGACACTGGTGACACCAGCCAGGCTCTGAGCTGAGCCTGCCCGGCTTCGTGCCGGTGTCACCCGGCGCGGGAGGGAGCAGAACATGGATTATTAAACCACACGGGGCTCTGAATTATAAAAATCGGGGCGGCTTTGTGCGGGGGGGTGGTTAAACCTCCCCAGGGTAAGGGGGAGACAGCGGAGGAGGCGGGCGAAGCGGAGGGCCGCGAGGCTCGGCACGGCGGCCGGGGCCGCCCGCCCTTACCGTCACCGTAGTCGGGGATGACGGCGTCGGGCCAGGGGGTCTCCTCGGCCTGGATGTCCAGCACCCGATCGATGGACTTCTGCGCCTGCGACAGCGCCTGCTTGGCGAAGCTGGACAGCTGCGAGGCGTTGAACCAGCTCATCCTCGGCGGCTCCGCAGCGCCCGTTCCCGCAGCTGCCCCCGCTGCCGGCGGGGCCGGGCCGGGCGCGGCGCTGAGGGAGCGCAGCGGAGCGGAGCGGAGCGAGGGCCCCGCGCAGGCGCCGCCGGATCCACGTCGCACCCGGGCCCGGCGCAGCCGCGTCCGGCCCCACACGTCCGGGAGGCGGGACCGGGGCACCGCGCCCGCCCTCACAGCGCCTCCGGAGCGGGGAACGCTTGGGCTCAGGGGCTGGAACGGACTTAAACACCGTCCGGTTCCAGTCCCTGTCACGGGCACTGACGCCTTCCGCTCCGAGCCCCAACAGAGCCGGCCTGGAACGCTCCCAGGGCTGGGGCAGCCACAGCTCCTCTGGGCAACCAGCGCCAGCCCCTCGCCACCCTCACAGGAAAGAGTTTCCTCCGAGTATCTAACCTAAATTTACCCTTTTCCAGTTTGTACCCGTTACTCCTTGTCCTATTCCCCTATTTCCCCTCGTTCCATTTGTACCACTATTCCATGTCCTATCCCTTTATTTTCCGCCTCATTCAATTTGTACCCATTAAGCCTCATCCTTTTAAACGATGCAGTTCATGGGTAAAAAACTGTCAACTTCAAACACAGCTAACATACCAGATTAGAATTCACTGGCACTCCTTAAGTCTCTGACTAAAGCAGCCAAATGATGCCCCAGATTTGTGGAGGCATCATATATGGAGGTTATAAATGAATGCCCACAGAAAAGCCACAAACTCAGGTGTCTTTCTGATTTTTTTATTAATAAATACCTTAACAGCACCAATGATATTTGAACATAATTTTGCAATGCTGTGCATGGCGGCTGCTTGGGGACAGTGAGGAGACACATCTGTATTTTCATGTACAGTTGATAATTTTCTCCTTTTGTGTTTCTTGAAACAAAGCCATCTCTTCCACATTTAACACCTTCCATAAAATTGATCAAATCAATACCAAATAAGAGGAAAATCCTCATTTTAATCTACTGCCTCCTTTGGTTTAAGGTGACTCAGGAGTGCTACAACTTACAACCAGATTGCTGTGGTTCCTTTTAGAAACATTTTTCTTTGCATATATGTGTGCACACATGTTGAAAACAAGACTTTTGGCCACCTTAAAGTTCCATGTGTTTGAAAGTACATTAGCATGAACATTTTGACAACAAAACCTGGGAAAAGTGTATTTCTATACATCAGAGGTCTGTACATGAATAAGCATTTATACAAATATAATCCACCAAATATTGGCTTCTACATACAATTCTGAAATATGGTGATCATTTAGATTTCCTAACCTTCAACCATGCTGGCACTAACAGGAACATTTCAGGCTGCCTTAACACCCACAGAGTATGTTTGTTTTATAAGGTGGGCACAGATTTCTCTTGCTGTATTTGCACTTTACTTATGAATAAATTAAGTGGTAAAGTGAAGTTTGAACAACATAGTCTGTGGTGTAGTAACATCAGCAACTGCAAGTTCCTGGCCATCCACAAGCCCCAGTTCTGAAACAGAAAGAAAAAATTAATTTAATTAAATCCATGTGCTTTGCTTTTTCAAGAAGCCCAAAAAAAAATTAGAAGTGCTATCCCCACAAACCAAATGTGATTAAAAAAAGCTGCAAACAGCTCACTGGCTAAGTTAATATTAATCTAATTTAACCAGGAAACAGACCTTGTTGAGAAATATATCTAAAATTCTACTGCAGAGTGTGTAGTTTACAGCAGCTATTTGGTTGCTTTGTTGCAATGTTATGTGCATCTGCCTGCACTTCACCTTTAAACAATTAATATACCTGAGAAATGTGAAACTAAAATTGAATGTGTATTGAATGTAAAAGGACAGTGAAGCAAATTCTACTGCATAATGCAAGATAAAGTTAAATATCCACACAGAGGGGTGAAACTGACTTTCTCTAACTTGAAAATCAACACCTGACAGCTCCATGATACCTTTTAGTGTCTTGGAAAGATTTGGCCTTGTTCGTTCTTCAATTGAAGCTACTGTCTGCAAATTGAAAAAAAAAAAAAAAAAAAAAAAAAAAGAGGCCAATTTTTTTTTTAATTCAGTAAATTTAAGTAAATTGAGAATAACAAAGTCAATTACTTATGTTCAGATTACCTGTAAATAAAGTGTTTTATTTCCCCCATACATCGTTGCTGTGATTGCAGGAGATTTCATCTGCCTATATATAAAACATTTAAAAACAAACAAACAAAACAAAACCAGGCAATCAGGTTAAAAACACATTTTAAAATTACCTTTTATAAGCAATAAACCAACAAATTATCAAATTACTCAGAATGGTTGCAACTTACAATGAAGCATTATTTGTTAAGTAATCCAGGATCTCCTGCAATTTAGCTGATGGGGAAATCTCTATGTTTTGGGGAAGCTGGCTGCAGGCTGGACAGTTCTCCTACCACAAAACAGCACAAGAATACACATTATGTTAAAGGTCATTTTAGAAATACTGCTAGTAAGGTCTCAAAAGTGTTTGTGTTGTGGGGTTTTTTTTTTAATTTTAGCTCTAGATATATTAATAGCTGGAAATATTAATGACAAAACCCATTTCCTTCTGAAGTCTGTCACTGACTGGCTTCCAACAGCACCTAAGTATTTATGAATGACAAGTTTCATCTGACATAAAATCCAATACTACAAACTTTCAGATCAATTTTTGCCATAACCTCTTTTGGAGAAGATCTGCCCATGAGTCACCTTAGGTTTGAGGATCTTATTTTGTAGCTCCACTTTGCAGAAATAGCAGACCACTATATGTAGTTTCCACTTTTAAAACTTCAGAAATATTATCATTCAGTGCCAGGGGCCAATTGATTCAATACTGAGGTTCAGGAATACACACAAAGTGCATAAATACAGATCAAGGAAACAACCCTTCAAGCCTTTAATGACACTAACCTTTCTTTCAGCTTCAAAACTGTAAGTATATAATCCATCCACATCATTGAACACCAAGTAGTTGTTAAGAGGAACATATGCACTGTAATGATAAATATGTCAGTGTTGATACATGGCATTCTGCTGGAAATCATGTCTGTAATTAATAAGAAATTAAATACCTTGTGGCTATCTTAAAAACTTCCGTGGCGCAAACAGCTGGAATGAGAAAAAAGAGTTTCTTCACCTGGCTCTAGCAGACATGGAGACATCACACAGTTGTACAAAAAGTGATAAAAACAATCAAGTATAACAGTCTATAAAGAGAAAAATAAACATCTGAAGGCAGCTGGTAGTTCTGTCATTAACACCACAGATTTGGCACTAATCTGAGACTATGTCAAGCCTATGCACTGTGTTTTTCAATTTTTCTCCCCAGTCTTAAATGCTTTGGCTGTCTCCCAGAGTCATAACATTTATCCAGTCACCTACAGTTTCTCTATGGAAAACAGAAATAAGACTGTAAGAACAGACCACATACATTTAAAATTTGCTATTATCCTCTCCAGATTCTCAATTCCAAATTTTTGTCCCACAAAACTCTCAAGTCAGTAAAGTAGAAGCAAAATGAGTTCTTACAGCATACCTGCAATTACTGCATTTGTAGAAGCTACTGCTGGAATAATTCGTTTAACCACCCCTGTAAAAACAAAACATACAGCTCTTTGTTTTCTAAGAAACTCTATTGAGAGGCTACTTTTAGACAGAATAATTTCGAAGGGTGGGTCCAAAGTACTTTCAAGTATCCAGGAATTTCTGTAACAAACAGGTGTAATGCATGCTGCTGCAGTATTTGGGCACTTTTTTATTTTAGGAATGGATAAAGCACATTGAAAAAAAGCAGGTATCAAACAAAAAGAACTACTGAACAAACTCTGAAAGCAAGAATTCTCTATTTAGTACGGGGAAATTAAAATTGTTCTTTTCCTGTTAAACTGGGGAAATGAACAAAGGAAAGAAGGTTGAGTTTTCTATTTGGATAGTGTTTGAAATGCTGATTAAATGAGTGTCAGCATACTGCACTAGCATGTGAACAGAGGCAGGGACAGCAGACAGGAACAGATGCTATAGACTTAACCAGTCTGAACTGGCACAAAATGTTGCTAAAAAAGACAATCAAGTCCTTTTGTTTCTACTCTTTGACCCAGCAAGAGTGGTCACCATGTAATGTAAACTGTGGAGCTGCTCCAAGTTAAAAATAAAATAGGAAAAAGAATGTTCAGTTTTATCCCAGATAAATTCCTCTGATTCATCATGAATGCCTGAACATCTGATTTGTCATAAAAATATTTGTGCTGGCACAGGAAACAAGCTGCTTGTTTCTGTTTTAAGGGTGAGGAGAACTATCCCAGCACAGCTGCCAGCTTAGTCATAACAAATACAAAGAATGCCAATCCAGCCTCGATGCAAATGCCACCACTTGGTGAAATGCCATCCCTTACCTTGGGTGAGTCTGTAGGTAACACCTTTAATATTGAATTGTGATGCTCTTTCTAAAGACTTCTGGTAAATCCACTGTATATGTTCAGGGTCATCTCCATCCAATGCAATACCTTCTACAGTAGAGAATTTACAGATAAATTGCAATTATAAAAGTTCTTCTGAAACACAGCATTCTTTCTTGTCTAAAAAAATCCCTGGTTTAATTTTTAATGAATACCCCATAAAGCTATTGAAACTTGACATTTTAAAGAACAAAAATATTATTTTTACAAATATCTTTAGTTTAAACACATCCTATACATAAACTATCATCACTGCAGAATTTATAGAGCTGTTACAGGTTACACTTTAATTCAGGAAAGACACTGCAGTGTGAGAAACATGAGCAAATATGGAACTGGAGAGTGAGTTCAAGAAGACAAAATCCATCTGCAGCTCAGAGGAGGCTCAGATTCAATACAAAAATGAACCACACAAGGTTAAGAGGCAGGATTGTTTTATTAAAAGTATACACCCCACTCAAGTTAATTAAAAGGAGAAATGTTCCCTTAGCACCATTACAATACATTAATTACCTCCAAAAGGCTGCTCCTTTGGCCACTGCAATATCCTGACATACTCAATGCAATGCTCCGGCAGTCTGGGCATGGATGCTATGGTGCACATGGGAAAATTGACCTGGTTGGGCAGGGGAGGAAAA